CTGGTGGTTTTGGCTTTAGAGTCTGTTCATCATATACTTTTACTTGGAGTGTAAGGGAACTCAACATTTATAAGCCAAAAGATTTCTCAAAACCTAATTTTTATTAGCATAGTTGAAGAAATTCAATATGTCTGTTCGAGCTTTGTAACAGAATTTTGTCTTCAACTAAAGCTCAGCCAATAGCTGAGTCCAACTTACATAGTCCCTTCGTTTTGGTAGCAATGTGGCTTCAACGTTGACCCTTATTTGAGGTACCTTAATCTTACACAGCTACAAACAATCTAAAGGCCATTAGGTAAATATGTCAGTCGCATAGAAGTATAAACACCTGCATTGCACACAGTTATTCACGAAATTCCGGAACGTAACGGCTCTCTACAGGCCGTTAACATTACTACTTATTTCTAAAGCTCAGGTTTTGTCGGAAAAAATCCATTTTTGCCCCCATCTCTCCATATAAATTCATTTCTTGATCGCACATGTAGCCAGTAGCTCCTTGATGCCGCCATCATATTAATTAAAGGACAATCTACTGAAGATCAACATTTCGGTTTCAGTCTTGGATCACTTCACTCGGAAATAGTTTTACATGATTGAATTTAGGAACATGGTTTGCTTTTAATAATTAACATTTCAATTTCAATCATCTGTGGCTCTGCCTGCGCAACAGGCCCTTGGATTATCATTTGCTCACCTGTAAACCATTCTCCCAAATGGATGATACCTTGTTGATTACATCAAAATTGCAGACATGGTCAGCGTTGATGAGTGTAGGTCGCTTTGTTAAAATAGACCTACTAGGAACGACCTTACTAGCTAATTGAATTTTATTTAGTTCTTAAGACTAAATTAATTAAAATGAAAGAGTGATGCTTGCTCTTCTGTTCAGTGTGGGAAACTTAACTACTAAAACATGGATCGCCAAGATAAATAACAGCTGCCATCGGTTCAACATGTATCCAAGGCTGGCTCCGAAGACTAAAGCATAAAAAAATACGTATGGAGTATTTCAAGACATCATTTTAAACGTATAGTGTTAAAAAATGACATTAGTACCTCCTCCTGCAAACATAAATTACTTAATTTCATCACACCCCATTCATTGTATAAATTCACATGAATTTTGGTACTAAATATGTTGAGCTGTTTACCTGCATGTCCTTATAATATGTACTTTATTATATGAAAAGGCAATTGAATAAATCTTTGTTTCCCTCCTATCTAGAGTGATATTCAGAGATGTCAAAGGAAAATTTTTGAGGATTGCCAAGATTCCCATAACAATGACTGCCAGAGGTGGACCGACAATAGACAGGAACCCACATCGAAATGACAGCGAGCTGTCCTTCGAGAACCTGGCGCTGGATCAGGTCCGGGTAGAAACTCCGTGTACAACGCAGGCCTCTGCTTTCTATATCTATGCAAATTCGGGCGAGTCTGGATCCCCAGATAACGTTGGCCTATATTCCACCAATAAAATGCGATCGCGATCCTCAAGTGTCTTTCAACGAAATCTGTCAAAAGAGAGACCACCTTATAAAGGCAAATCTTACACTTGGGAGGACTTTGGGACGACTCTTGAGGTGGGCAATTAATCTGAGTATGTCCTTCCCATTTCCCCGATCGGTCTCGAGGCAGAATCTAACGCATAAGAACAAGAAGTTTTAAGCATTAGACCATCATCTAGGTTTTCAGTCAAAGTTTCAGAACCTAATTTATCCTAACTACTTTGTAAATTATATCAGTGCCACTTTCTTACATTATAAAAGTTTTCTGTTTGGACCAAACAGAATAGATTCATACAATTATTTTTCATTAAAAACAACTAATCCCAAAAACTGCAATCATTTCTTTTCCTAAATACTTGGTGCCAGTTAACATAAATGTGCTTGAGATGAAAGCCTTTCGGAAAGTATGCTGCCAAACCCAGATACACCATCCAATCGGTGGGGAATCTTCACACTAAAATTAGTGTGAGTTTTGTCAATGATCGGCTGCTATAACAATGTTATGGTGGTGATTTGGAAATGTCATGTCAGACGATTCTGAGCCGCTATACGCCAAATGATAATACATTGGGCCTTCTAATCTCCTTAAAGGGGTCTGACCTTTCATGAAAGCTGAATGTTCTGCCCATAGACCTCGAACATAGCGCATGTTTTTCCCTCCTTAATGGGAGTGAGGATCTGGAATGGAATTGCAACTACCTGGAACACATCGTCTATCGTTTATAAGAGTTCGTCTGAATACCAGCATCTCCGGATAACGTAAGAGGACATAGTCAATTTCTATTTTCTTCAGCAACGAATTGAGGTTTCGTTTTACACCCTACCCCCATAGGGCGCTATGATGGGCCGGAGGATGACAATATGTCGGATTTATGCTAATTCCCTTGAATTCAGCAATGACCAAGAATTTTTATTGCGGCTACGAATAAAATCGAGACTCTAGACTTCTAGCCAGCCCACCGAAATAGGTGATCTGGGTCTGCTGTCGAAATCCATTCAGCTAATGTAATCAAGCCATTGGAGATCGAATTCCTTTATAAGTCTTTGGGTGATTCTGTTATTTCATATAGATCTAAAGTGCAGGAAATAACAACAATAATGGTAACGCAACTAAAAGTATACTAATACAATTATCTGACCTTGTGGATTGCGATAATTTAAACCTATACCATAATTTGAGTTATGAGGAATCTACTTTTGTATTTGTACCCAATTATGCTAATATTCTATAGGCCATTGACACTATAGTTGTTTTTTTTAATTTTAATATCCAGGGTTTTAATCCTGCATTGAAGCTTCAAGAGGTATAGGCAAGATCACAAATTCGGTTCATTCTGAGAATTGATACAGTTCGGCGAACCGTGCAAGATAAATTAGAGCCCTGGAAAAGTGTATTGGAGAACCGTCTGTTTTTAAGCAACTTGGCGAAACATTTGAGTCAATGTACATTAGCTTCCATCAAATAATATTACATTGTATCTTTTTCAAAACACTGCTCAATCGAGTAAGAAACACATAAGCCCCGAATTCTACCTGTCCAGGAAATCTAGTTACGGATTCTCTGCTTACTGATTTCTGCACTTAACGATGGAGAAGCATAATTCTTTCTGACTATACAATTGGTCCCCTTCGCTTATTACGTGCCAGCGTTAATTTGATCGTGTTTGAGGTATATATATATTATGTAAATACACTGACGAGGTTAGACGTATATTGGAGTAACTGATCGTATTGTTGCGTGGTTGTGGAAAAGAAGATCCCCGAAGTTTTCTCTTTAGTGGCATTCCATAAATGAATGTCTATGCGGATTTATTTGTAAGAGGGCAAACAGTTTCATGGTGTACATTAAGTCTTCATATGTCTTCTGGAACGAAGGTAGAGCCCGGGAAAATATATTCCGCGTGATTGTGTTTCAAGACTAACATTAATTCGATAATAAAAACTTAATCACCCTAAGGCGTCTTAGATAATTAAAGAACTGATAGTGGAGATCTTCCTACATTGTTATAAGTATACCTCATGGCGCCATTGAATTTAACCTGGCTTTTCCTTCTAAAAGAATTTCCCATTCCGGTTGGACCTCATTTCCAACATCGTCCCACAGTATCATTAGCACCCCTAACGGGGTATGAACCTGGGCCTTGTGCATCGTGACTAGAAGCACCATTCCGCTACGCATCCATGATAGCCATGCGTCACAAGGCAGATATTGCCTTTGAAGCAGGCCAGGCCTATTCTAATCCACATTTAGAGTGGGATTGTCTATAAAGCAAACATATAATCACCTCTACAATCGATGATGGTACTTATATTCACTGTACGTTTCGAAAATATTAGTCATTCTTGGGAGGCAAGGCCAGGCCAAATTTAGTTGTATCATGAGGCTCACCCATATCATTGTTTGGAAATCTTCATTATCAATCTTGAAATCAGCCCAAACGACTTAACTGGAAACCTAGAGATGATTGCATCAAAATCGAGCCTAACAGATATCGTGTTGATTTAACTTAGTTTTCTCAATTTGATCGGAACGTCAGAGGGACCTTGTAGAATGTACATAGTCCTATATCCTCTGGCATAGTATTCGTGAGTTCCAGCATCAGACCATTGGCTTGGTACATTCCCATACATCGGCATCATAATTGAGAGGGGCCATCGTTAGCACACAGTTACAATTTATGAAAGTGATAAGTGAAGGCAATCCCTTTGACCAATTTTCAATTCAACCGTTGTGGCATCGCTCCTAGCCCCCATTTTTTTGTTATACCTCTTAGTGCTGCCCCTCTTTCACTCAACCCCACTTCATATGGCCCATTTACCTATTCACACTATTATGTGTTCTCGTTTCCTCTAATTTCGCCTAGGAGGAGAATCATAAGGGGCAACGGGAAGTCAAAAAAGGCGATTGCAATGAGAGGAATTAAACCTGGAATCACAATGAAGTTACCAGTATGGGCCCACCTGTGGAGATTGGCTTAGAAAAATACAAGTCATAAACATACAAATTGCACACCAGTAGAGGTTCTAGGCTAAAGATCTAAGTTCAGGGAGTGGGAACCGAGTTAAGGAGCACAATATCGGTTGGTCCCCAGTGTGTGTGCGTGTTGATGTGTGCATATTTCGTGTGTGCCCCTGTAGTGAGAGGTGAATGTAGACATGCTTGACTAGGGAGGCTACCAATCAAGTACACAGGCACAACTGACTAGAACCTTACGATTAGGTAGGAGTGTCAACTTGAGAGACAAAAGGAGTGTGTTTTACACGATTCAGTATGGAAGAAGGAAAGCAGAGCATTTTCACACCAGCGGTTCCGTATTAAGCCAGACACAGAACCCCAAAGAATGAGATACAATGGAAGTGAGGATGAGAAAGATAATAACTGGGTGATGAATCTGAAGATTAATGGGGAGGAAGGTTCCTAGGCATGAGAATCACCAGTCTTAAATCCTCGAATATGACGTAACCGAGGGCTGGAATTGAATGTTCATAGGCAGCCAGCTTTCAGACAGACAGACAGTGATTTTCGTGTGCAGCAGGGGACAATTAACAATCGGGTTGGATGGAAGCTAAAGTAAGGTAGGAAGACATAACCCAGAAGCCCTGCAAACGGCCTCAGAAATCGGTGGTGAAGGTGATTATGCCTTAATGAGCCCACTTGCAGCAACGCACTCTTAGACGAAATTGAAGGAAACGAGAACATGAATAGGTAAGTGGTCCTTATGAAAGGAGGTTGAGAGAAAGAGATACAGCACTAGAAGATAGGATGAAACAAACAAGGGGTGATGAATTATGCCACAACGGTTAAACAGAAAATTGGTCAAGAGAACTGCTTCACTTATCACTTTAATAAGTGGTAGCTCTGAACTAACGATGGCACCTACAACTGATGCTACCGGCGAAGCGTCCAGGAATATACTGAGTCAGCAGTCCGATGCTGTGAATCATCATGAATAGTATGACAGAAAACGCAGGACTAGGTGCTTCCGCAAGGTCCCCTTGTTGCCCAAACCATTTTGCCGAAACGAGATCAAACCAACTCTATACAACTAAGGGAGACTACGACCAAATAAAAAGCCACGAATATTTGCCTTCATATCTATTATTCACAAAAAAGTAGTATACAAAAATTTATAAATGCATAATTTTTTCACGGTTCTGTCTACCCCACACAAGGACGCAGTTCGTTTTTGCAGGTCTTCTCCGCCTTCAGTGTATTTTCAAGCATTTAGGGCTGTGTATGAAATAAGTTCTAGTCTAAGCCTTTTTCTCATCTAATCCTGTGGCTGACTAAAGGTGCATCTGCTAGAACACGTTTTTCACCTGTTACCCTTCAAGTATGCCTACTTGAAGGGTAACAGCATTTAATTAATCTCACCGCCAAGGAGTACATTCCAAGCATTTATAACCCCGAATCAAATCGGACACACCTCACCCTATATAATTCATCAAAATGAAAGCCAATTAATACAAGTTTCCACGTAAATAATTATTCGAGACTGGTATAGCAATCTAAAAATCAGACTCCTAGTAGCTCAAAAAGTGTAATTAATGCTAATATTCCGTTTATTCCAATATGCCCATCATACATTGGATAGGTTCAAAATCCGAAAAACAAGTGTTAGCTTCGCTATTTCTAGTCTATTTTTAATTCTTTCGCTTATTTCTATGTTAAATGATTGGCCTTTACTGCCTTTTCTTCACTTCATCGAGGGCTCCTTTGCAACCCATTCAACAATAACTTTCAAAATTTACCAACCTCAGCAGAAATCAGGCTCGTTATAGTTTAGAAACAACAACTATGAATAAAAAAAACTAACGTGGATAAATTGAAGATGTGAAGACCAAGATGTTGTGGCCTCGGGTATGGTCGCAGTCTCCTTTCGACTTATA